ACGTGTCTGGGGATCCCAGCATGGGAGCTGGACTGGGCATGGGGGATGAAGGGGTGGCAGTAGCAGATGGCTCCGGGCCCCAACCTTTTAGTGGCAGGAGCTGGCTACAGCTGTTCACCAGAGTGTAGTGCAAATTTAATGGGGATGAACAATTGGGTGGGGATTTGGTGGTGGGGATCAATGAGGGGGAACAGGAGGCCAGGCCATTCATGGGGTGGACACGTGAGCATCAGTCTCTCTGGGCTGCTGAATATCTGAGTGACCTCGACACACAAGTCATCTGACTTGATCCGTTAGTCTTGTCCTTACATAATTTTAGTGCATCCACACATCTACTTCCTGGGATTGCCTGAACTGTTCCAGATTATTATCAGTCTGTGAGTCTGTCTGAATCAGAGCAAGGAGTGTGCTTTTGATTTTCTCTCTCTTTTTTTTTTCTTTCTGATAATCATGGCATTTCAGAAAGTGGCAGGGAAGTGTGTGTGTGTGGCGGGGAGAGACTCCACTCATACTGCTGAACTCAGGAAATGTGACTCTTGGACAAAGATAGCAAGCACTGGCCTGAATTCCAAAAGTTGCAGCATCTTTGTCTTTCCATTTTGCTCTTGTCAGCATCCCTGTGGCCTGCTTTCCATCTGGAATACTGTAAGAGTTGACCTGGGCACACTGTATCTCCCACAGGGAGATCTTCTCCAGGTCACAGAACAAGCACTGCTTCCACGGATTTCCCATCGTAGCCTGGGCTCCTGCTTAGAGGAAACCTTTTCCGGTTTTGGGGTTTGTTTGTTTGTTTGTTTTTCACTTTAGTCCAGAAATCAGGATTCATTAGAGAAGTTGTTATTGTTAGGTGCTATTGAGTTGAGTACAACCCATAACATTTCTACAAACAATAGATTTAAATCCTGTCTTATCGTGTGCCATCTTCATCATCTCTGACACTGGAGCCCATTTCTAAATCCACTGTGTCAGTCTATCTTGTTGAAAGTCTTATTCTTTTTCACAAATCCTTTCATTTTCCAAGCATGATGTCCTTTTTCAAGAAATAGTCTCCCCTAGCTACATGCCCAAAGTATGAGAGATGAAGTTTTCCCTTCCTGCCACTAAGAAACACTCTGGCTGCACTTTCCAAGATATACCTGTTTGTTCTTTTGGCATTCCATGGGATATTCAGTACTTTTCTCTAACATCACAGCTCAAAGGCATCAGTTCTTCTGACATCCTCATTATCCAGCTCTCCAAAGCATAGCAAGTGAATGAAAAGATCAGGGGAGCTCTGGTGGCCTAGTGGCAAGAAGCTGCACTGCAATCCCAGAGGCGCATGGTTCGAATCCACCAGATGCTCTGCCGGGAAAGGAGGGACAATCTCCTCCTGTACCAGTCAGATCTGATTTGACGGTACACAGACACACAAAATAATAATAAAATAAAATAAAAATAAAAAATAAAAAAAAATCTAAAAAAAAAGACCATAGCCTGCATCAGGTGCACCATAGCCTTCAAGCTGACATCACTGCTCCTCAGTAATTTAAAGAGATCCATGACAGAGGACTTGTCCAAAGTAATACATCTCCTGACTACTGGTACCAAGTATGTTGATTGTGGATCCAAGTCACATGAAATCGTAGACAATTTCCATCTTTTCTCCATCTGTCATGATGTTGCTTATTCATCCAGTGGTGATGATTTTCATCTTCTCAGTGTTCCAGTATAATCCATTTTGAAGGCTGTAGTATTTGTGCTTCTGCCACAAGCATATCGGGTCCTCCTCACTTTCAGCAGGCAAGGTTGTGCTATTAGAGAAGTTGTTGTGTACCATTGAGTCAGAACCGACCCATAGCTGACCCTCCAGCAGATTTTCAGAGGCAGTGAATTGCACGGGAGGAGACTGCCCGTCCTTCTCCCACCAGAGCAGCTGGTGGTCTTGAATTGTGTGCCTTTGGGATTGCAGCACAGCTGCTTGTCACTAACCCACCAGAGCATCACTTCTTTTTCTCTCACTTGGACCTGTATACATTTTCACATGTGTGCTAGGTGGCTAGATCTTTGCTTCTAAATTCCCTGTAGAATCATGGCAGCTATTTGTGGGGTTTCACTGGCCCTGGAGGAGTTGAATCATGGCATAGAAGTACTATGAATATCACTAGAGGTGTGTTAGAAAAAGCCCCAGAGTTATCAGTACTTTGGGGCACTGCTACTCCAGTTCTGGGAAAGCTCAGATTACTTCCCAGCCACAATTTATACAGCCTTGTCTCCTTGACCCTGTTCCCATTTGCCCTACGTCCCAAGCCTTCATTGATCACCATAATGATGGGAAAAACCCTTAGACATCGTTGGTACTTGACATGATGAACTTTTGGTTTCTGTGGTAGCCTCCCAACTTCCACTTGTCTATTATTGCCAAGGTCCTTTCTCTGTCTCCCCAGAGATTGCAGGGTCTGCCTTAGACAGAACACAACCTGTTGTATTTTGTACGTTCCTTTTGAGCCTGTCTCTACCAGGCTGTGTGTTGTCCCAGAGAAGGGCTGCATTTGTCATCTTTGACACCACAGTGCTGCCCAGCCAGTGTCTGGCACAGTTGATACTCAGTGATTGTTACACCGACTCAGGCAACCAAGGCAAGTCTTTATTCCACCCCCAGAGAACTTGCCCTGGAAAGCAAGTAAGAATTTATATAAGAGGAGTCAAGGAAGTGACTTCACACCTTCTCACCAGTTAATCTCACATGATGAAGAGAAGAGAACAGATAGACATTTTTATAGAGAGGAGCCATCAATAGTTAAACTGAAGGCACCGGTCAAGGCTGACCCGAGGGCTGGAGTCCATCAGTGTATTACTTTTAAAGGGTCCTAGGTTTGCCCTCTGCTGAGCATAGGCCCTTTTCACTTACAGTCTTAAGGATTCATTCTTTATACAATTATAACCGTTAACCAAGCACTTCTTGTGTGTCAGGCTTCTGCTCTGCCCAGGGAGTACCAGCAGGAGAAACATAGTCCCTGACCTCACAAGATACAAACAGCCAGTCCCAATATAAGATGTGTTTGCATATGGTGCTGTGGGAGGGCAAGGTGAGAATCTAATATTTCATTTCCAGATGGCGAGAGGATTCCGCCCTTGACAGGGTGCAGCCTTGCCACTTTGTACTGCTCTCCACCAGCGGAAAATATTTCGGCTCTCCTTTTCTGAAGACATAACCCCTTTCACAGGTTCAGAGATGTAAAGTTCTGCCTTGCTTAGGCAGAGCAAGCCTATGGCACCCTTACCATCCTTGTGTATAACATACAAGGTCCCGTGAGACTCCAGAAATCTCTGCCAGTGTGTATCTCCCATATTTGAAGGCAAATGATTGAATGAAGGCATAAATGAAATGATCCCTATAGTAGGAATGCAATTTAGCATAAAGTTTATTTAGTAGAACACTTTAAAAATTTTATAGATTACTGTGATCCCATAGCTTTGTAATATAAGCGGTTGTGTAATGTAAAGGTCATTTAAACTTTTCTGTTGTATTTAACTTCCTATGATGGAGGACTTGATGTGCTGAAAGGAGCTCTGGGCATGGCGCAGTGCATAATGTATAGGGCTGTTAACCAAAAGGCCAGCCGTTCAAATGACAGAAGCCGCTCCGTGTGCTAAAGGTGGACATTCTCCTCCTATAAAAATTTACGTTTTAATGCATACCCATGTTTAGCACAGCTTTGTTCACAGTAGTAAGGAGTTGAAAACAACCTAAGTGCCCATCAACAAACGAATGGATAGAGAAGATGTGGTATATTCACACAATGGAATACTAAGCTGCATTGAAAAACAAGGAGCTCATACAGTATTATTCAAAATGGGTGACTCTGGAGGACATTATGCTGGGTGAAGTATCTCAGTCACAAAAGGACAAATACTGCATAGTTCCACTGTTGTAGAGTGGGACTGACATCGGGGTTGAGGGGAGACTGAGAAAGATGGAATAAATAATGTATACTGCATTGAAACAGATGAGGGAAAAAAACTTTAAAAGGGATATGTGATTAGGTATTATTGTCATGAAGGAGTCCAGAACGAAAGCTACATAGTGGAGTAGACCTCGGGGGAGGGATTGTAAAACAATGAAAGAATTTTTCTTTTACTTTTCAAAGAGAAGAGTGAACTGGGGTTGGGGGGAGGGGGGCAGGGAGAAAAGTGAAACAATGAATGGAAATCCAAAGTCTGTAAATTTTAATTAAAATTAATAATAAAAAAGTTTACATTCTAGGAAGCCTGGTCAAGATTCACCACTAGTTAAACCAACTCAGCATCAGTGTGCTTGATTCTGCTTATGTGCTGTGGGAAGTGGACAACAATGTGTGGATTCTTTATAGTCTCAGAGTCTAGTCTTCAAAAAATGCCAGAGGCCTGCTGTAGCCCAGTATGCCATTCCAGGCTGTGGGGGAAATGAGACCCTCCCAGGAGTCAGTTTTCACGTTCTAAAACAAGGTCTGATGACATTCTGCCTGTGAAGAGCTTTTAATAGAGTCAAACCTGTAAAGCTGGAACCCGTGTAAGGTGTTAAGTCTTCAGAAAAGGAGAGCCGAAATCTTTTCCGCTCATGGAGAGCAGTCGGAAGTGGCAAGGCTGCCCCCGCCAAGGGTGGCATACTCACGCCGTCTGGAAAAGAAGGCAGTCCTGCGGTACAGCTCCCACAGACTTCACTGTAGCTCTGTAAATTGCCAAGGGAAGAGAAAGAATCATGTTAATGTTTTGGTTTGCATTTATTTAATTGCTAATGGGAATCATAGGTTGGTTGGTTTGTTTGATCTCTTTGTTATGCATTAAGTTGACTTTGGTACCCACCATATAGTAAGTATTTGGAAATATCAAGTGATCCTCATAAAAGATTCAGTCTGGGCTTGCTTGGAGGCTTAGGGATGGGCACCCTGACTTCGTCGACAACTTTCCCTTCTTGGGAAGCCATCACTTTATGAGTTTTCAAGGCCTTTTTTTTTTCTCTTCCTTGACTTAGATGCTCTTAGATACTTAACCAATGGGCAGCCTTCCATTGAGCGATTCCCCATCAGCTTTAAAACCTACTTCTCAGGAAACTACTTTCACCACGTTGTGCTGGGGATTTATTGCAATGGTCGCTACGGTTCCCTGGGCATGAGCCGGAGGACTGAGCTGATGGACAAGCCATTGGCCTTTCGGACTCTGAGTGACCTCATCTTTGACTTTGAAGACTCCTACAAGAAATACCTACACACAGTTAAGAAGGTCAAGATTGGTCTCTACGTCCCCCACGAGCCTCATAGCTTTCAGCCCATTGAATGGAAGCAGCTGGTTCTTAATGTCTCCAAGATGTTGAGAGCTGACATAAGGAAGGAGCTAGAGAAATATGCCAGGGACATGAGGATGAAGGTAGGTTCACGGGAGACTTGAGAATGAAGGTAGGTGGATGGAAGACATGACTGAAATCTAAAATCCTGTCAGTCTAGAATAGATAAAGAACTCTGCTGCTAAGGGAAAGGTTGGTGATTTGAACCCACGGGCAGCTTTGGTGCTCTGGTGGCCTAGTGGTAAGGAGTTGTGCTGGCAACTCAGAAGTACTTAGTTCGAATCTACCAGCTGCTCTGTGGGAGAAAGATGGGCATGCTCCTCTGGTGTGATTAACTGCCTCTAAAAACCCACTGGATGGTCAGCTATGGGTTGGTTTCACCTCCACAGTACACAACAACAAGAAACAGTCTTGTAAGAAAAAGAGCGGGCAATCTGCTTCCACAAAGATTACAGTCATGACTATCCTTCGGAGTGTTTTAATGCTGTCCTAGGGGGTCACTGTGAGTCAGAAGCAGCTCCTGGAGAAGACAGCAGTGGGCAAGACAATTAAGTGACACACGAGGGCTCCTTCTCCATTCATTCTATCACTTTCTCTTCATCCCATCCCCTTTTGTCACATGTATCTGGGATGGTAGGTGTTCTTGACATTATTGTGCTAGCTGGTCACTTTTAATGAAACAAAACAACAAAATTTAATCATGAATTATTTGAAATGGACAAGTCAAATCTCTCTGCCCATGTTGTTGTTAGGCGACTCTGACTCATAGTAACCCTGAATGTGACAGAATGAGACCTTGCCTGGGCTTGCACCGGCCTCACAAGTATTGCTATGTTTCAAAAAAAATCAGGACTAAAACTCTTTAAGAGTTTATAGTTAAAGCAGTGTCCTGGCCTGCAAATCTGTTTCTGAAGTAAAATCTAAAAATCTTGGTCATTTTATAATAAATCTCGAAGTTTCATTCTGTTTTGAACTTCTAATAGGGTGACCCAGTTTTCTCAGAGTAGAGGGGTTTCCCTTGAGCTTTCCAGTACTAAGACCAGGGAAATCCCAAGCAAATCAAGATGAACTGGTTATGTTTCATAAGATACAGACTCACATGATCCTCTCCTTTGCTTTGTGAGTTGCAGGACTCATAGTACAAAGTTGTAATCAGGTGTTGCAACAACAGATAAGGGAGCAGTCCTTGTACTGGCCCCCCGTATAGTGCATGCCCATAGGTCATTTTTGTTTCTACCAAGGTTATGTGCAAGGTGACATGATGCCCTTCATTGACCTCCCTCCAGGGCTGTGGAGTCACTGAATGCACCGAGCAAAAGAGATTGTGCAGACGTTGGGCTTGATTATGTCCAGCACCTACGGAATTAACATTATGCCTCTATGGGGCCTCAAGTTTAGATTCTTGAAAAGCTGAAACTACCCTGTGAATGGCCGTGGATGGGAGGGTTGGAGGAGGAACAAGCTGGTGTCTGGGGCAGTATAGATAAGGCATTGTCTTTATGAGAAGAATCTGGAAGCATTCAGATACAACTCCAGGAATTATTGCATTGGAGTGCTCTGGAAAGTAGTGGGGACACATGTAGTTACTCATGCCACCCTCTGAGAAGTGGCACATTTGCCTCTTGCCACTGCAGAGCACAAGAAAAACATCTGTCTCAGATCTCCTCCTCTGTTCAGTCTTCCTGCTCAATGCATTCAAAATGACTGGATCGTCAGTGGGCTTGGGGCTATGTTACAAAAATCATAAAGGTTGGAGATTCTATAAGAACTAGTGCAGTGACTCCTTTTCTCTCCTTCAGATCCTGAAACCTGCAAGTGCCCACTCTCCTACCCAGTTGAGAAGCCGGGGAAAGTCCTTGTCCCCCCGCAGGAGACAGGCGAGCCCTCAGAGGCGGCTCGGCAGACGAGACAAATCGTGAGTAATTATGTCCTTCTACCAAACTCAGACACAAGCTCGCACTGTTTGGAGCTGTCCTGACCCATGGGCACAACGGTGTGTCCTGGGCTTTGCATTTACAGCTCAGATAGTAACCTCCTACAAGATTGCTCTCATTCAGGGGGCATCTCTGTGGAAGAGGGTTCTCTAAATTTCACCCCCCTTGTGTAACTCTGTGGACTATCAACTGTACACAGAGGAAAGAAGGTCCAGACAGCATGAGAGGAAGAATAACTTGACACCAGGTAGCATGGAAGGGGCACTAGGAGGAGGACACCGGGGTTATAGAATCAGCTCTGCTATTCGTATAGATGAGCTTGGATGCAGTGTCATCTTAAGAGCTTATGTCTTCTTACTATCAAAAGGATGTGGTAGAATTTGTGAACTTTTCCTAAATCTCCCTAATCTTCTGAGCCCAACAGAAAGTGTGATCACCGTCACTGGATGATGGCATCAGAAACATCCACAGCTTATCCTTTTCCTTGGCCAGTTCTGTCCTCCTTTGTTTTAGCCCTGATTCAGTGAGGCCATCTCTACTTCAAGGGGTCAAAAGTAATCAACTTAAGGAATGACAGATTGAAGATTCTGAGGCTGTCCAAAGTAGCCCATGATAATTCACTGGCACATATATGAGCTTTCTTTATACTGGATAAAATGCTTGTTTTATTAGTAATAGCAGCATGCTGTGTCATATGAGCTTCTCAGTGTGCCTGGTAATACGTGGTGCGGTGCACACAGAACCCAGCTCCATTGCGTATTAGCCAGGCAGGCTGGGCAGTGCCATGTCTTTAGGATGCCTTCATTTTCTGCCATCAGTTACACTTCTCCTGCTCTCACAGGGAGTTCTGGTGGCCCTCTGGTAAGAAGCTGCACTCTATGATCCCCACAAACGCCTTTGCAGTCAATAAAGCACAAATAGACATTCTTCTGGTATTCTTTGCTTTCAGCCCTGGATGCACCTGAAATCAGCAATTTTGGAGGCAAGAATGATGAGGCTCTGCCTCACATACTTTGGACATGATGCTGGGAAGGGTGGAGGGTCGGTGAAGAGGAGGAAGAGCCTCAGTCAGGGGGATTGACACGGTGACTGCTGCAATGGGCTCTGTGTGTCAGGAAATGTGAGGATGGCGCAGGATAGAACAGGGTTCAGATCTTTTCTTCTTAGGGTCACTATGAGTCGTACTCAACTCAATAGCATCTAACAAAAATAACCACAACATAGCCTCTTCTAAATCCATCTCGAACTTCTGGAAGTTCTCTCTTTATGTGCTGTTCATGAACATACAGTTCAGTGAAAATGAACTTTCCAAAAATAATGAAGCTTGACTAGGAGTCTTCCTTAAACACTCCCCCCCAGTAGGTAGGGGTTTGTGTTGGTGTTTTTTAGGGAGACAGGGTTTGCAATTAGAGTCAAGTAGCCTTGAACCAGTTTGAGCACCAAAACACTAAGTGAGAAGAGGGAGCCCAGGGGGCTCCTGTGCACAATTTTGTATGAACAAACTTGGTAAGACCACAGTTTGGTTGTAGTGCCCTTGCTCTTTCTCATCTTTTTCTAGTGTTTGAAAATTGGGTAGAAAGTCAAGAGGACAGTATCTTGGCTGCCATTTCAAAATGGAGATGACATGAGGAAAGAAGAGTCTCTTCCCAACTTTTCCTAACCTCTGCCTTCTGACTTACAGAGGCTGGGGGAAAAGGGTTCAGGGACTTTGGCGGCCTAGTAAGATGGTGTACTGCAATCCCAAAGGCCTGAGGTTCAAATGAACCAGGAGCAAAGGAGATGGATGAGCAGTCTCCTCCTGTGTGGTTTACTGCCTCTGAAAACCCACTGGAGGGTCAGCTGTGAGTCGGTTCTGACTTGACAGCAAACAGCAACTATGGGAAGGAAGCTTTAGTGGGAGTCTGTAGGGAGTTGTGCTGCTAATCTAGAACTCCAAGTCCACCAGCAGTTCCACGAGAGAACAATCTCTTCCTATATGGTTTACAACCTCTGAAAACTTGCCAGAAAGTCAGCTATGAATCATTCCCAACTGAACAGCAGTGAGTTTTTTAATAGGTTCTCACCACTGAGCCGATTGGCAGCATCATGACACACTGAAGAGACTGAGATTGTGAACAGCCTTCAGTTTACTTGGTCCCACATTCAACACTCTTGGTACCAGCAGCCAAGAAATCAGATGAATTGCAGTGGTAAAGTCTGCTGTCAGGGACCTCTCCAGAGTAGTGAAGATCAGCGATGTTAATCTGGAGACTTAGGTGCGCTTGATCCAGGCCAGGGTCTTCCCAGTTACGTGCTATGCATTAGAAAGCTGGAAAATGACTAGGAATGATAGAAGGAGAGTTGATGCCTTTGAGCTGTGGTGCTGGAGAAAAGTTGAATATACCATGGACTGCTCGGAGAACAAACAGGTTCATCCTAGAGAGAATGAGACCGGTTTGCTGCTTGGAGTCAAGGATTCTGAAGCTCCGTCTGACATACTTTGGGAATGTTGCAAGGTGTGTGATCAGTCCTTGGAGAGGGACAGCATGCTTGGGACGGTGGAGAAACAACGCAGGAGAGGAAGACCCTCGATGGGATGGATCAATTCAGTGATTGGAGTAATGGGAGTAGGTGTGTCAGAGACAATAAGATTGGCTCAGGATAGAGCAAGAGTTCAGAGCTGTTGTCCATAGGGTCACTGAGTAGCAGGGGATTCAATGGCACATAACAACAACTACAGTCATATAAGAGAAATGCAGATGAGAGTAAAATGAAGGGTTTCCAGAGCTGGGGATCCAAGGAAGAAGAGGAAAAGGAAGTGTTGTCATCCCTCCCCTTCCCCCACCTCCTGCCTGCTTCTGCCATGGCTGTGGTCTAGAACTTGGGTGCCCCTGGTTCCTGACACGGTGACTGGAGAAAAGCAGCTTCTCAGCTTCTACCCATGACTTCCAGCAAGCATGTGTCTCTTTAAGTAGTATTGCTTTGGGCAAAGAAATGAGATGTGGTTGGACGTCTGACCCAAAAACTCCGATGAACTCTGGAAATCCTTCTGCAGGATGGTCCGCACGAGGAAGAATTTGGTGGCTCCATCACCAGGTTATTATTTCAGTGTTACATAAGGCCATCACGTCATTTCTAAATGTGTTGGGTGCCATCATGAAGCTTGGGAGTGACCTAAGGTGGAAAATTACCATAACAGGCAAAAGGATGCATCAGCGGTGGGGTCCAACCCTTGTCTGGGTGCGGATAATTTTAGTGTCTTTGTATCCACCTCCTCCCTACAGCTAGAGCTATTTCTAGCCCTGACTATTTCTAGCCCCTTTTTTGCAGTTGTCTGAATAATCCTCTTAGAAAGGAGGATCAGTGTCACTGAGTTGACAAGAGAGTCAGTTGAGTGGGAGGTCAGGCAGCAACAACTGCACTGGTATCAGCTTTCAAGAGGGAAACGGGGACTCCCTCACTCCCTCCATCCATGAGCCCTTTCTTAAGCTCTGCCTCCCTGGAGTGTTTAAAGCAGCTTCTATTGGAGAAGCTGGGTTTCTTCCTGGGTTCTTAAAGAGACAGAGAGTTGGAAGTTGAGATCTCATACTTAACCCTCTGTGAACTCAAACCAACTGCTTTGGAACCCTGGTCTTCAATTTTCTTGATGCTATTCACTGAAGGAAGTTCACAGTGGTTCTCAAATAAGATCAAACTGCCCTCTGTCAGGTTGGGGGTTAGAAGAGTGATGAAAGGGACCATTTTTGTGTATCTTGATAGGGTCCAGGAAATGAAAATAGTCAGTGTCCTACAAAGCTCAGAACCATCGTACTCAACAACCAACCATCAAGTTAAAATGCCAACAGTGTACTATTACGTCATGTTTTGATCTTTCTCCCATGTTGCATCTGATAGATTTGAACTGCCTGTCTTTGGGCCGACTGCACAACTCCTTGCCCACTGGAGCTCCCTATTTTATTTAAATGTTTTTAAGATGTGTGTGTGTGTGTGTGTGTGTGTGTGTATAAAGAATTCGTTCTGGTGGCCTATCCATGTTGTTGATAGGTGCTGTCAAGTCTAGTACAATTCATAGCAACCCAGTGAATAAGGAATCTGAACCTTGCTCTATCCTGTGCCATCCTTATCATCTCTGATATTCTTGAGCCCATTATTACAGTCACTGGTCAGTCCATCTTGTCAAGGGTCTTCCTCTTTCACTGATCCTTCACCTTTCTGAGCATGATGTCCTTTTACAAAGACTGACTCTTCCTAACAACATGCCCAAAGTATATAAGATGAAACTTAGTCATTCTCACCTCTAAAGAGAACCCTGGTTGCTCTTTCTCCAAGATATACCTCTTTGTTCTTTTGGCAGCCCATGTTATGTTGTTGTTGTTGTTGTTGTTATGTGCTGTTGAGTCACTTGCAACTCATAGCAACCCTGTGTACAACAGCCCTAAACCCTGCTCTGTCCTGTGCCAATCTCACTGTCTCTAACATGCCTATCCCCATTACCACAGTGATGGAATCAATCCATCTCAAAGAGGGTCTTCCTCTCCTGTGCTGTCCCTCCACCCTCCCAAGCATGACGTCCCTCTCCAAGGACTGGTCCCTCCTTGCAACATGTCTAAAGTGTGTCAGACGAAGCTTCAGTATCCTTGCCTCCAAGGAGCAGCCTGGCTTCACCCTCTCCAGGACAGACCTGTTTGTTTTCCTGGCAGTTCATGGTATATTAAACACTCTTCTCCAGCACCACAGCTCAAAGGCATCACCTCCCCTTCTTTCATCCCTAGTCATTGTCCAACTCTCTGACGCATAGCGAGAAATTGCAAAGACCATGGCCCATAGTCTCCAGACTGACATTGTTGTTCCTCAGTACCTTGGAGAGGTCTCTGACAGCAGATTCAGTACATTTATACACCACCACCAGTTCCTCTTCTGTCATCTTTATTCATTGACTAGCTCTGGACACATAGCAAGTAATTGAAAAGAATATGACTTGAATCAGATACACCTTGGTCTT